CAGTAGAAAAGGGTTATTTCTGTGGAGTAAAAATAGGAGACGGGGAGTTAGAGATCAGCCATCTACAATTCGCAGATGACACAATCTTTATGGGAGAGGCAACCGAAGACAACATATGGATGATTAAATGCATCATGAGGGCATTTGAATTGGTGTCAGGCCTGAAGGTAAATTACAGAAAAAGCTCTCTAATTGGAGTCAATACTGATGAAGAATGGACGAGAAAAATGTCATGGTTGCTGAATTGTAAAACTGCCTCCCTTCCCTATAAATACCTAGGCATGCCTTTGGGAGCAAACCCAAGGAGAATAGATACTTGGAAACCCTTAATCGAAACCTTCAGAAGAAAACTCTCAGTTTGGAAAGGAAAATTCTTGTCTCTTGGCGGAAGAATCACCCTCATAAACTCTGTGCTGTCCAGCCTGCCAGTGTTCCTGATGTCGCTACACCTTCTCCCTAAACAGGTAATCCGCGAGCTCGATAAAATTAGGAAAAATTTCTTATGGGGTGGAGTTGGGGAAGGTAGAAAGATAGCTTGGGTAGCATGGGAGAGGGTCTGCTGCGGAAAAAAAGAGGGAGGGTTAGGAGTGAAAAATCTTAGATGGTTCAATATGGCATTGCTCGGGAAATGGTGGGGGAGATTAATAGGGGGAGATAAGGGGTTGTGGTCGAGGGTGCTGCTAGAAAAATATGGTGGCAAAGGAGGAAATTGGTTGTCATGGATGAAAGAGGGTAAAGGAATAGGATCGCCATGGTGGAATGATATTTGCAAATTGAATATAGGATTAGGTAATAAGGTTGGGTGGTTGCTCTCAAATTTCAGATTAAAATTAGGGGACGGGAAGAGTGTCAGGTTTTGGTTAGATGTTTGGGTAGGGGAGGATTCTTTAGCTAATGTTTTTCCAAGACTGTTTTTGTTGGACACAGACAAAAACTGCAGCATATATGATCGAGGTTATTGGTCTGATGGACGCTGGTGCTGGAGATTCCAATGGAGAAGATCAACTAGAGCATGGGAGGAGGAAAAACTACAACAGTTGATTGGGACCATAAATCACATAAAACCAGTGCAGAACGTTAAAGACACCTGGAGATGGAGGCCTGACAATGAAGGAAACTACACCACAAGGTCAGCTTACGAGCAGTTGGCAAAGAAAGAGGAAAGTACACTGTTGGAGTACAAAAATATATGGAGTGCGCAAGTCCCTTCAAAAGTGGCAGCTTTTTCATGGCAAATGCTTCTTGATAGAATTCCCACAAAGGCCAACTTGGCAAAGCGGGGCATTATGGATGACAACCAAGGTATAAATTGTTTTTGGTGTGATCAGTCCCCTGAAAATATAGATCATCTTTTTGTGTCATGCAATATCTCATTCAATTTATGATCTAAATGTCTAAATTGGTGGGGATTATGTTATGTTCTTGGGAATACTTGTCTTGATGTTTACAACCAGCATAGTTGGCATAAGGGCTCAAAAATTATGAAAAAAGGCTGGAATATGTTATGGTTCACAATAGTATGGTCATTGTGGCTGAGTAGAAATGAAACAGCCTTTCAACACAAGAAGGTGAATGAGGACTCGCTATTTGAACTTGTACAAACCCGATCATTCCATTGGGTTAGAACTATGTTGAAATTAGAAAATTTTTCCCTCATAGAATGGTTTACCAACCCTGTGAGTTGCTTGACAAATAGGAAGTAGAGAGTAGATGGGGTGTTGAGCTCCAGGTTTCCTGTTTTGGGTATACCAGGGGATCTTGTTGTTTGACCCACTTCCTGGATGTAATTTGTTTATTGATGTCAATGGGTTTGAGTACCCCTTGTACTCACTTAATAAATTTCTTTTTGCTTTTCAAAAAAAAAAAAAGAGACTTCCCACAACTAGGGCCAAAATGTTAGTTTGTTGATCGAAATAAAAGAGAAAATTAAAGGAAAAGAGAAAAAAGAGAGTGCATGGCGAGAAAACTAAATTGCAGAGTGAAAGTGTGATGCCGTAACGAAAGTATGAAAACGTAGAAAATGAAATAATAGATGAAATATAAAACAAAACTTAAAAGAAGCTAGAAAGATGAATTTGAGGCAAAATGCAGTAAATTGAATTGCAAAAACTAAATACATCAAGTGAAGATGTTCACAATGAAATAACAAAAACTAAAGTTAAAATTAATGGTAGCGTAGAGTTAAAGACTAAATTAGGAAAGCTGTTTGAGAAAACTGGATATAAACTAAGCATTGCTTGTAAAACTAAAATGTAGATAGCGTTGGGTTAATTGTGTGAGAGGCTCATCTTTTTTTGCTTGAACTAATCATCGGGTATTTATAGCACCTTAGCAGCATGGTGGAGTTTTGTTGGCGGCATCTTGAAAACCAACGGTAGCATAAAATCTACAGTAAATCGATTAATCTGTTTGTGTTGCCGATTATCCTCTTAAAAGTTCGCAACAAACAAACGACTTTGCTACCGTTGTGAAAATAATCACTGAACTTTATTTGAAGAGATTTACATCAATAACTTTTAACTAATGAAATAACTGCCAACATGAATGACAAGTGGCACCATTCTATTTTTTGCAAAAATGGGTGTAAACAATATGGATTAGATATTGTAGGTTCTCACAAGCTTCCACAACCAGGAATAAGAATCAGGACGATGACCTCGGTCCTTTGAATCATAATTCAGTTTGGACATATCCTCGTAGGTTTTTTTTTTTTCGTAGTTGAAGCGACTTTGTCGCTAGTTTAAAGGTTTCCGCACTCTTACGATAAGGGTTTGAATTTGTGCTTTCCATTTTCATCTCTCATAGGTTTAAACCACTTGTTCTAATGCATCAAAAAAAAAAAAAAATTTGTTCCTCCTTTTTTCTCTTATATATTTGCTTTAACTTCTGTTTACATAACTTTAAATAAGGCTTTTATCTAATATTTGAATGGTGATTGATACTCTTTTATCAAATGAAACAGCTCGACAAATATTACTTATTTAAAAATTCCATTTTTTTCTTTGTTTTCGACAATCAGCTTTTCATGTCTGAATTTTTGTGAATGATTTTTCCACCCACTCTTTTGCATTTCCTTTTTCTTTTTTACCACTTGTTCCTTGTTTTACGGTGGAAGGTTATTAATTGAAATAATTTGATTAATTGCTGGACTAGTTTGGGGAATGTATAATTAAGATCTTGAATGATATTGTGGAGATTCTGGAGGAAAAAAAAATCTTATGCATTAGTGCTTCTTGGTTTTTGCCGATGTAAACCAGGCATTTGATCTTTTGTGGTGTCTACTTAATTAAAGTAACTTCAATTTGGTTACTGTAGATATGGGTAAAACAAAGGAATTTAGGTGGACAAAACCAATGAAGCGCATTTAACTTGAGATCCTTGCTGAGGAGGCAATAGAAGGCAACAAGCAATCTAACACATATAAACACCAATCTTTTACTCAAGTAGCTGAAACTGTAAGCTTGAAATTTGGTGTTGAATGTGTGCCTACTCATGTAAAGAATTGACTGAAGACAATGAAATCCAACCCTGGAATATTATTACAACACTTCGGAACAAAGGTGGATTTGGATGGGATGACACTAAAAATGTTCATTACTGACGGAGAAGTGGCTAATTAAGAAGTACAGTACATTATTTATATTGGCCCTATTGTTTTTCTCTACATATTCTTTCCTCTTTTTTTTTTTTTTTTCTCTAATTTCTTTTGCTCACAATTTAGTTTTCTGAGTCCTCTGCGCTGTTTTAATTGTAGAATCTGCACTTTCAATGTGCTCCCACTTTCATATTATCTTAAACCTAAAGTTGCTAACTTTATCATATCAGACATCCATATGGTGCTTTTCTTGGAAGGTTCTTGTGTCTCTGCAAAGTAGATAAATTTGGAAAAAAAATATCATTGTTGAGTAATGATTATTCTTTTCCTTTTGTACTTGGGTTTAAATTTTCGGTCTTTATAATGTTTTAAAAATCTATAGGACTTTGATATTCTATAGTCTTTTGTATGTTTTGGTTACTGTTTTAACTTGAAAATCTTTTTGTTTATAGGCACATCCTACGCATGTGCAATACCTGCATTGAAAGATTGAGATGTATGATGAGATGGTCTTGGTGGTTGAGAATGACATAGCAATAGGGAGCTTTGCACAATCTTTTGTTGATGTTGAGTTAGAAGAAAGCATCCATGATAAATCAATACCTGTTGAAGAACTAGGAAAGGGAAAGTGAACATCTACATCGATTGAAGCCACTTCAAAATCTAAGTCTCATTGCAAAAGAAATCATGTCAATTTGGATAATGAGAATATTGAGAACATTTCCAAAACACTTGGAGAAATTGCATCAGCAATAAAAAAATTGAGTGAAGATCCGTTGGAAGTTCTATCTAAAAATCTTTATGAACAAATAATGAAAGTGGAAGGATGTGATGAAGCAACATTGGCCTCCGCATTTGTTCACTTAATGGACTGTGAAAGGGTGGCAAGGGCTTTTATGGCAATGAGTGATGAACTTGAGAAATTATGGCTTGAAAATTTTGGTAAAGAATGAATTTCTCGCTTCACTATTATTTTAGGATTTATTTAACATACAATGTTTTTTTTTTTTAATGTTATTATCTAGATTTGTAAAATTGGTATTTAAATTTCTATTTTAATAGTATGGTAAAAAGTTTATAAATGATAATTATGTGTGTTTGAATATTTATTAATGTTTTAACTTCTTCTTTTTTAACTTAAGGAATTTTTAAGAGTGGGAGAGTTAGTAGTGTTTGGTTGTAGAATTTAGGATTTCATGTTCAAACACCTCCCCTTTAAAAGGGTATAACTCTAAACTACTTAGTGTTAGACTTATTAATTTTTTAACTTTAATTTTAAATCTTTAATTAATTAAGGAAAAAAGTTAATTAATTAATATTTTAAAATTTTTAAGATTTTCCTTAACTTACAAACAATGAAAAATATTTTCCCAAAAAATTTTCTCAAAATATTTCAAATATCAAAAGGAAAAAATACATATTAGCTTTGACTCCTAAAAAAGATCGGAGTCAGAAAATTAAATTACATAATTTTACTTAATTAAAA